TCCCGAACTAGACCTTGCATTTAAGAGCCCAATATTAATTTCTTAATGTCTGGAGAACAGACAAAAATGAGTTCCCTTTTATCTATCATGTTTGTTAACTTGTATTTCAGGATTCTTTTTATCCTATTTAAAAACAGCACTGCCTTCAGATTATACCTTTCAGTGTAATACTCCCAGCGTCCACCAGGAGGAGAGTTTAAAACATAGCAAACAAGGTTAAAACACAAATGGGGAGAACTAGAATTTTAATCCCACTGAGTCCATTTATGTATTTAAAAGTACTTTTAAACCAGTCATGCCATTAGTGCATTTAAAATTTATTATAAACTGGTTACTACACTAATGGAAGCTGCCCTTTTCCAAACTTTTTGGTTCTTTATAATGTAATACAATATGCAATTTTTATGAAATGTGATCTAAATTGTGCATCTAAAGCAGGTTGCAATAGAAAAAAACAATTCAGAACAAGCTCAAGAAATGTACAGAACATATCTTGCTTACCATTTTTGCTTCTGACTGTACTGGTTGAGGGGAAGAAGGACCTGGGATTCCTGGAACGCTAGGCACCATGGTGACTGGTCGAACAAGCTATGCAAAAGATATTGAAAAATAATTTTCATGAAATATTTTCAAAATATTTGTACTTTTATTTGTAAAAAGCTATTATAATAATCTGAAACTTTGGAATGACAAAATTATAAATTTATCCGTACCTGATTGTATCTCTACACTAAACCCTTATTAGTCTGATACCCTAATTTACTCTTCAAAAGTTGTCAACCTTTCTGAGACATTTGTTTTCTGAATCTTCAATTTTCACAATTAATCAATAGTTCTTTCTTGCACTCATAATACTCAGTGATTGATGTACTTTCTCACAGAGCTGTCACACTTTCATTTTGCATTTGAAAGAATGTCAAAACGTGACAAAGCATACAAAGTGTTAAATATGAGTTCTTTGATATATTAATATACCACATAATGATTAAGCTGGTGACCTCTAACAATTTCTCAAATAATAATATGGAAAAGAAATTATTTGAATTTTACTTGTTGTTACTGTAAATAAAGTCTATCTTTTCATTCAGGTTTCTTTTTACAATCTCAAACACAAGGTAAAAATATTTCCCCTCAAAAATATGCTCAGAAAAGAGAAAGCAGATCTTGAATCTATATAAAATTTCCCAAATAATGTATTTTGAACAACAGAGTTGTGTCTTTACAAGATACATTATCTTGAAATTATCTCAATCAATACTGATTTTTTTTTCAATGCTGATTTTTAACACTTGGAAGAATTAAAAAATTAAGCCTTTAAAGAAAAAACAGTACTTAATCTTAGTAATATTTCTTGGGTTATAACTGCATCAAAAGTTTTAGAATGCTACTCTAAGTAAGCTTTTAAAAATAGTTTAAAAAGCTATATAATAAATAATTATATTGTATGGATAAGTAATATGTGTATTTAAGTTAAAAGAGAAAACTTTCTCTTATGTAAATGAGTATCTAAAGTTTAGGTTAAGATTTCCCAGAAAATAATAAGAGATTCAAAAGGTACATTATAAAAAATGTAGGTGAAAGTTAAAATGATGTACTCTGGAAAACCTTCCTAAATGTCTCAAACTGTGGTTCTCAGGATTAAAACTTGAAATGTCAAGGACATATTTGAGAAGTTCGAATAAAACTGTTCTATAAAATGGGAGAGTAAAAAACCCCAAAAAACCAAAAACCTCATTATTTCCATTCCAAACGATGATTTTTAAATGTTCACTAAATTATTAAATATCAGAAGTAGTTATGTAATTACTTTGTCTGTGTTTCCCAAAATTTATATACTTACATGGGTTCAAAAAAATTCTTCTTTTAGATCTTGTTAGACAATGGGAGATTATGGCTTTGGAATGTTTAGATTTTTACTATGCCTGTGCCATCAAAGTAATTCTATAAACTTAATTTGACCGCAAAGTTTCATAGATTGTATCTTTAGAAAAAACTTTTTATAAATATGCACAACATAGAATTACTTGACAGCATTCTAATATAAATGTCTTAAAAAATAAAAATCTGAAATATTTGAATTTACAATTCACTGAAATGAGATGAATAAGGAATAAAAGTATGAAAAAAATGAAAACGGAGGAAGAATGTTTTCTATCTAATAGGTTGGCTTTGACTAGTATATTCCATTACTATAAATAATCAGCAAATAAATATTACCAGTCACTATTAAGGATTTTGTTAAATTCATGTTCTTATGCCAATTAAGCAGCTTCAACTATATTTTTGTATTACTTTACCAAGACCAGTTTTGCTACAAAGATCTGAACAGATGGTATCTCACTCACTGGGACTGCAGCTGGGACATGCACGTTGGAACTTGTAATGGATGCAGGAATTGCAACAGGCATGGTCTGTCCATTAGGGAGATGTAACAGGAGAGGAAATGGGCCTGGGACAGGGCTGGGGGAAAAAAAGAGAAAATTTGAAAAAATTCATATGTTATTTATTGAAAATATACAAGTATTTTTACTCCATCATATCACTTGAAAATAAATTTTTTAATCTGTAAAACAAATTTTAATTATTTTAAATTGCATCTTAAATGGGAAGTGAATGCAAAATTTTAAAGTGCATCTTAAATATATAATCTTTGTAACAGTACAAAAACGGGAAAAATTTTGCAATTACTTGGGACCATCTCTAACTTATAAAATTGTAAGAATTATAAAGAGTGTCACTGTGATGAATTTTATTTATGTTTTGTGTGAAATACCTTGAAAATAAGAGACTACCTTAAATTCATATTGTATTTGTTTTTAACTTTAAGATATTTCTCAATCTATTAGATAAATGTATTTTCAAAAGGCCAATGGTTTTCAAAAAAAATCAAAGAATGTAGCTGACACACAGATATACACAACTAAGGTCACAATTTAAATAATTTAATGTCTTAGGAAAAATCCTACCAAGAGAGATCTAACAATTCAGAGAGTAGGAGATTGTCCTGCATCACTTACACAATTGGCCTATTGGATGATGGTGCCTGGGTGATTACAGTACTTGAGGTTGGTGAAGGTACTGCCTGCTGAATAATTACACTTGAGTCAGAACTCGTGAGCAGCACGTTGGGAACCTGTAATGATGCTGGACGAACAATAGCTGATGTGGGCTGTGCAGTTTGTGCCAATGGTACCTCCTATTTAATAATGAGATAAAGAAAGAATGGTATTTAAAAATGTAAATCAATTCATATACCTTGGTAAACAATGTAACACATGACTAAAAGTTTCCATAGGATAATACTTAACACACTAAATATATAAAATTAATTAAAAGAATGTGTTTAGAAGCAGTTGTAAAGGTTTAGATGCAATGTTTTTAAATTGTATTTATTTATTTATTGGTACCGGGGATTGAACTTGGGTCCTTGAGCTTGTGAGGCATGCGGTGGAACCACTGAGCTAAATCCCTGGCCCCTAGATGCAATGTTTAATACTTACATTTGTTTTTTGTTTTTTTAGTACTGAGGATTGAATTTGGGACCATGTGCTTGTGAAGCAGGCAGTGGCACCACTGAGCTAAATTCTCAGCCCTAGTACTTAAATTTCAGTACTGGAGACTGAATTCAGGACCTTTGCAATGACCTCTCCACCCCTTTTTATTTTCAGACAGGCTGGGAATTTTGCTAAATTTCCCAGGCTGGGCTCAAACCTGCCACACTCCTGCCTCAGCCTGTCAGAGTGCTGGAATTATGGGTATATGCCACAGCATCTGGCTCCAGAACTTCTTAACTAGTTGGTATAAAAACTGGGTACTGAATAATGTGTTTTTTGAAACAGTTTTTACACTATCACTTAGTGTTGAAGTCTTATTATGCTACATTAGAAGGACAAACCACTGAAACTTTATTCAGCAAGTTTAACAGAACTAATAACATGCCCTTGGCCCCCCCAAATTTAAAGACTCAATCCAAAAATGGGCACCTGAAATGAAAACACACTTCTCAGATGAGCAAGTACAAATGCAAATAAATTCATGAAAAAAATGTTTAACATCACTGGTCATTTGAGAGATGCAAATTAAAATAAGGCTGAGATTCTATCTCACTCCAGAAAGAATGCCCGGTATCAAGAAACCAACCAATAACAAATGCTGGTGGGGCTGTGGGGAAAAAGGAACCATTCTCCACTTTTGGTGAGAGTGTAGACTGGGGTAACCACTGTAGGAGTCAATGTGGAGATTTCTCAAAGAATTAAAACTAGTGGTTCCATGTGGCCCAGTTATACCTCTTCTTGGTATCTTCCTGAAAGAATTAAAAGCATCATATCACGGCAATATATGCACACCCATGTTTGTAGCAGCACAGTATGTAATAGACAAACCTTGGAAACAGTCCAAATGCCCATCAACTGATGAATGGGTAAAGATTTTTTTTAAACACAACAGACTACTACTCAGCCATAAAGAAAGATAAACTTGGAGACAGTTTTAGGTAAATGGGTGCACCTTGAGACCATACTTGTAAGTTAAATAAATCGGACACACACATGTAAATATTGCATTGTTTTTCTTGTGTGGGAAACTAAAAGTGTAAATAAGGGCCAAAATGTATGAAAAGGTATGAAACAGGAAGAAAATGTTCAAAGGACCAGAGAATGGGGGAGGGGAAAGGAAGGAAGAGAAAAAAAACAAGAAAAGAAGGAAAAAATGGAAACAAAGCTTTTGTAAATAAGGAGAGGAATAAGGATGAAGAGAAGGAAGAAGAATGGAAAATAAAGAATCAAGATTATCATGTACAGGCACACGTTCCTTAGGATGAATGTGATAATTGTGTGCATGTAAAATGTACCAATAAACTTAATTTTAAAAAAAGGCATGCAACATATAAAAAACAAAAAAAAATTCAGATTGTAGTAACTGTTAAGTGGTATAGAGTAATAAATGCAATGAAATAACTAGCAGCAGATTTAATTAAGGGTAATGTAGAACAGTGAGGGAAGGGAAGCTGCTTTTTAAAAAATGGCATCTGAAAGAATAAGGAGGGGAGCATATGAAGGAGAAGAAAGCAACATCACATTTAATGTCTTGAGGCAGGAAAAAGATTGGAATATTTAATGAACATAACAAAATGGCAAGAGGTGAGAGGGATAGACACATAAGCCTACAGCAAAGAGGGCTTATGATAAGGAATGTGAATGATCTTAACTAAAATAGTAACCATTAAGCAGGGAACATGATTTAATGTATTTTTAAGAGCCCCCCAAAATATGAAAAATAGATTGGAGATGAAAGCAAATAGTCCAGTAAGAAATACTAGCTAGGCATGATGGCATGTATCTGCAGTCCCTAAGTTACTCAGAAGGCCAAAGTGAGAGACAGTGAGACACTCCAGAAGAAAAATAAGGGGGCAAGGTGTGTAGCTCACTGAAAGAATGCCTACTTGTAGCCCTGGGTTTGATTCCCCAGCACTGCAAGTAAAGGGAGAACAAAGGGAGTAGGGGAGAAAAACTGAAAGATTATGTGACTTGGCCTAAGGAAGTAGTGACACAGAACAAAAAAAGGACATGACCCTTTTGGGGGCTTGCGGCAGAATGTTATGGTTTGGATCTAAAATATCCCTGTAAGGCTAGTGTTCAGAGGCTGGAGGGGGCAGGTCACTGGGGTCACGCCTTTAGAAGGTGTACTTCCCTTCTGGCTCCTTCCCCAACTCTTTGCTTCCTGGCTGCCATGACGTGACAGCTTTCCTCTTCCAGGCCCTTCTATAACATTGTTCTGTGCTGGTGCAGGCTGACCAAGCACTAAACCCATTGAAACCGAGCCCAAATAAACTTCTTAAAGTTTCAGATATTAGGTGTCCCAATGACTGGAAAACTGACTATTATAAAGCAGACATGAACAGTAAAAACTGTTAAGTGGGAGAAACTGGAATGCTCTGCAGAAAAAATTCTCTAAAGCATTTAACAGCATTGCTAGCAACTGTAATAAAGTGGAAATCAACTTATGTCCAAAAAACAAAACACACAAACAAAAAAACCTCAGGCTAATTAATTATGTAAGGATAATGATAAAACATAGTACAAACATTAAAAATTATGATTGGAAGGGCTGGGGATTTAGCTCAGTGGTTCCACTGCTTGCCTAGCAAGCACAAGGACCCGAGTTCGATCTCCCGTACCAAACAACAAAACAAAACAAAAGAAAACAAACAAAAACAAAATAAAACAAAACAAAAATTATGATTGGGGGAGTCTCTAATGACTAAGAAATCTCTAATGTTTATTAATGATGAGTATTTCAAGTACAATGTAAAAGTAAGCTAGGGTCTTTATATCTATCCTACATAAATACTCACTTACAGCATGAATTATATATATACACACATATATATATAGCTAGAAAGATGCTTCAAAATATTAGTAATTCTTATTCAAGGATGGGCTAATAGGTGATTTTGGTCTTCTTCTTTGTATATCTCTGTATTCTTAAAATTTTCATAATGTAGCCGGGTGTGGTGGCCCATGCCTGTAATCCCAGCACTCAGGAGGCTGAGGCAGGAGGATCACCATGAGTTCGAGACCAGCCTGGGCTAATAGTGAGTTCCAGGTCAGTCTCAACTATATAGTGAGACCCTGTCTCAAAAAACCCAAAAAAA